TTCATCTTCATCTTCATCTTCATCTTCATCTTCATCTTCATCTTCATCTTCATTTTCATTTTCATCTTCATCTTCATCTTCTTCTTCATCTTCATCTTCATCTTCTTTTTCATCTTCAAATTACATCGTTATATTTAGTCTTCACATTTTTTGATGAGCTTTGGGCAGTGGCGGATTTAAATATTTGCCGCCCCTAGGCAATTCATAACTTGCCGCCCTTTTTTCACGAAAAAAAAAAAATTTTTTGACCTCGCGCAAGACAAACAGAAGACCATACACAGATACACTGCCTAATTTGACATACGACGGAAGCTGACCTTCAGATTATTCACGTTATGATACACTTATGAAAAACTGGTGGGCTTGGAATCAAGAATTTTCTCGAAAATGCACGCTCGTTTTTCGGCAGTGTTGTCAAGTGTGGTAACCTTTTAGATGATTCTCGTTCTCGGGGCAGCGTGTCGGCTGTTTCTTTGCGTCACGCGCAGGCGCGCCGTCAGGTTTCTAAGCCGCGTGAATGAAAGTTAAATGGAAATTTCAACGACTGCTATACTAAGGAAAAATTCGCAGCATAATTCTAATTTTGAATTGTATTGAATGAGATGAATCATTAATAATATTTTACAGACACAAACACAATTTCAAGTGCAGCTGAATCCAAATAAATTTTTTTCTTTTAATTTAGCTGTCTTAAATTTTGCCGCCCCTTAATTCTGCCGCCCTAGGCTTCAGCCTATGTTGCCTGTACGATAAATCCGCCACTGGCTTTGGGAATATGTTAGAAATGAGCATCAAGGGGTCCACCGAAACCAGTAAAGTTTTGAAAGGGGTATACGAGAAAAATAAGTTTGGGAACCTCTGGTATACTATGTAATATACCTCTGCAATTTTGTAAGATAAACTAGAAATGTTTACATCATTTTAAGCTGTAATTACCCTGCAGTGAAACCCCTAACTAGTCAGGAAAAACACTAGTTTACAACTAGAATTTTCTGACTGAAACCGAACTAGCTCGAAAATTAATAGACTTGTACCAAGTACAAAACGATTTATTCATGCCCGGTTTTATTTTACTTCGACATTTTAATACAATAAAGTATGTACACAAAATATTATAACTTTTATTTGGGTATATTGTAAACCATTAAAGCGAGTACGTATTCAATTATACCAAACCTGTTAAATAATGATTAATAACCATAATGATAAAAAATATTTTGGTAAAAGATAAAAGGTATAGTATTTATTGTACCTGATAGCTTTTACTTTTAATAACATATAATGAAAAATGCATTTAAATTTATGTTCGAAAGTAGGAAATATTTATGTATTTATTTTCCCTTTTAATTAATACTCAACAAATTTAACACTACTTCAAATCTAAGGCTGCTAAATAAAAATGTGTAATATATTAAAGTCTACTTAATCCAACGTTTTTATTGTATGTATATCCATGAATATATTCTATTGTTTGACTCCCAAAGTAGTGGTTTCGGTCCATAATTGCACTAGTATTTTTCTGTCTATTTTGAACTAGTATAAGACAGGTAAATTTCTGACCGAAATCTGACAATTGCCATCTCGTAGGACATCGCCATGTTAAAAATACCAGTTGACTGCATTGAAAAAAGATAGTTGCCTGACTAGTTGGCCATGCGGTTTATACTAGTTGTGAGGTAGTTTTCAACTGGTACATTTGACTACAGGGTACCTAAGAAGTAAACGGCTTGGCTGTTCGCCAAACCGGTCTATAGTTTTATCAATAATATCAGATTGTTTCTCTCATACAAACTTTCGATGTTCACTTAGAAAACACAAAGGCTGCGTTTCTTTATACATTCCGGATAAACCCATTTCACAACCAGAATAAACAGAATGCCATTGAAATATACGTTTACATATCATCAGGAACGTTCTAAAGAATAAGTAAACAAAAAAGTTTATTCCAAACGTTCAGAATGAATAAAGAAATGCAGCCAAAGACAAAGTAATAACCAATTGAACTATAAATTTAATTATTGGTTTACCGTTCAATCCATTTTCGATCACTGTCGACTACAGCCAAGTTATCGAGCTAGCATTTCCTGGTTATATTTTTGAATATATGGGAAAAAAATTTGGAATTTAGCGACTATCTCACTAATAAAAAATTAGCTTTTGATTTATATTAATTTGAATATTGATTGTGATAAAGCACATGAAACTTTCAAAGAAATATATTTTTTTATAGAGGAAATGCATAAGAAAGGAAAAAGATGTACCCTTAAAAAGTATTTTTACATTTTATTAAAAAAAAAAATACTATATGTATTTGAAGTGTACTATATTTTTTCAGATTTTTGTGAAAAAGTACTATAAATTTATTAGAAAATGTTAGCAACCCTAGGCGTGGCACCTCCTATTCAAACCGAATTTTTTATACTGCATATTTTTGGAAGTTTTCATGGTAAAGCACCGGAACTAGGTACGGAGATATAGGTATGAAATCAATCGACTAGTCTGGAGGCGTGGCACTGCCCGTAAAACCCGAATTTTCAATACTGTAAATCTCGAGAAGGGTTAACGGTAGAGCACTCTAACATGAAATGGAGATACAGTCAGCGTCAAAAATATGAATACCCTGACGTTTTGAAAATTTTCTTTATTTACATTTTCCATAACAAATTTTTGTTTATTTTTTTATAAAAATATAGTTCATTCAACAGTAAAAACCAGCAGAATCAGTTTTTTAAATTTCAAATAGAACTCGGGGAAAATTCAAGAAATACCAATTTCTTACTCAGTCCTAAGAAGTACTGCCCAACATCACACAAAAAAGCTGCCTTTCACAGCACGGTCAATCGTTTAGTTCGCCTCCCACTAAACGTTCGAAATTTCATGGATGAGGTCAAATACATCAAATACACGGCGCTATTGAACGAATTACGGAGCTAATGATAGCCAAGTTGATCGCGCTGCACTCGAAAAAAGTTCGCAAACGAAACTTGATGACACTTTCGGATGAAAAAGAAGAACACATAAGCATCACTATGCCGCATACTTCTGAGATAACGAATTGAAAAAAGTTTTCAGAACATATAAATTTAATATTGTTCATAGTAGTAACAGAAAACTACAGAATTTACTTGTGTGTATAAAAGATAAGACGCCACCGCTAAAAAATCAGGAATATACGAAATTAGGTGTAACGAATGCGAAATCAAATACATCGGCCAAACCAAAAAAAAAAACATCGAAATACGTATGGGAGAGCATTTGACATGTATTAGAAGCTCCGATTACGTCACCACTGTTTGAGCTGATCAAACGGTTCCAAAGATAACAGTATGCATAGTATTTGTTGTAAAAGTTTTCTATCACTTTTCTTGTCCCACTTTGCACCCAACATTCTAACATTTTCGTGTATTGAGTTTAGTGCAAAGGTACGCGCTGAGGATGACACTCTGTCGAAATGCATCCGAATTTTTCAATAATTGTTTAATTTATTAGTTTATTTAATTATTGAAAATAAAATTGGCAAAGTCAATAAGGAGAAACAAAAATTAAACCTAGTTGTTTTAATTCACACGTTTTATTTTAAGAAGTACTTGTTCGCAAGAGTCATTCCTCGTTGGATTTCAAGGCTGAAATTATTATTGGAGTTAATGCGGGTTTTGTCCTCGTTCACCACCTATCTAATCCCGAGAAGGCAGAACAGATGTAGCCCTTTTTTTACCGATAATGTAGATGTCGTCGGCATACGCCAGCAACTGCACGCCCTTGTAAAGTGTTGTGCATGAGCGGTTCAGTTCATTAGTGTTTGTTTTAGAAACGCATAGTTGAGTAGTTCCGCTCAGCTCAACGGTTGGCAACTTTACGCCATTTTTTTCCATCATAAAATTATTTCGCTACATGAAGTCATCAATTTATATAAGTCAAAAATGATGTTTCCCTTCCGTGAGTTTTCAAAGAAAATTCAAATAAAAAAATGTAATGTAAATTGCTGGCGAAACTGGCTGTTAATAAAATAAAATACACGTACAAATACATATATTAAAAATAAAAAAAGAAAAACTAAATTATAAATCCTGTGCTATTCATATTTTTGGCTTAATATTTTTTTAATTTTTGTGCTGTTTTATTTAATTTTGCTTTTTTACAAATGTTTTGGCAGTTTATGTATCATACCGGTTCTAAGACGTAACTGTTGAACTCAACAGTTGACAGCATTTCAGCAACAGTTGAGGTAAACAGTTGCGCCCAATATCTTCCCCAACATCAGGTTAAAGAAATCACACGAAAGGGAGAGGTCTTTCCCAATTCTGGCACAGCTGGTAGTATATCTCAACGTAATTTTACACAGCCGTATTAGTTTTGTGGGGATATACGGTTGCCAGACGTACTGATTTTATCAGTACAGTACTGATTTTTCAAAATTTGTACTGATTTGTACTGAATTTTCAATTCAAACAAAATACTTTAGGGTTTTATTGAGGTTTTTACATAACGTTGGAATTTCCTTAAGCTGTACTGTAACAAGTAATTTTTAAGCAAAAAACAAAACCGACTTCAAATCTAATATACAAATTTAAGATTATCTATAATTTCTTCACGATCCAATTATCGGATCTAAACAAAATTAGTA